CCATCCCCTCAAGCATCTATTTTTTGAATTCAATTCCTTTTTTTTTTTTTTTTTTTTGAAATGGAGTCTCACTCATTCACCCAGGCTAGAGTGCAGTGGCGCGATCTCAGCTCACTGCAACCTCCACCTCCCACCCTCAAGCAATCCTCCCACCTCAACCTTCTGAGTAACTGGAACTACAGGTACGTGCCAACACACCCAGCTAATTTTTGTGTATTTTGTAGAGACAGGGTTTCGCCATGCTGCTCAGGCTGGTCTTGAACTCTTGAACTCAAGTGATCCACATACCTCGGCCCCCCAAAGTGCTGGGATTACAGGAATGAACTGCTGTGCCTGGCCATTTTATAGCCCTTTAAACTTTTTTTCCCCCTTAACTGTACTAGGGAAAGTATTAGTTTCTTCCCCCTTAATCTGTGAGGATCAGATGCAGTGTAAAGTGGCGAAGAATGATGGCTAGCATGGAGTAGGTGGCCAGCAATATACTTTAAAAATGACTCCAGTCCTCTAAGCCTGGCTCATAGGAGACTCATGGGCCATTCCCAGAAATAGAAAAGATAGACAGAGGAGATGGTTAACGAGTAGGAGGTGAATTACATTTTGGTTATGTTGAAATTTTCGTCTGAACAAGATAGTCCAGTAGGAGGTTGCCACAAACTGATATGCATCTAGGAGAGAAGCCAAGGCTGGAGAATCAGATCTGGGACCCATCCAATGAGAAATGGTAGTTACATTAGTGAGAGCAGAGCCGCTGAGAGTACTGAGGCAGAACAAAAGGATTATGGGCAGACATACATTTAAGGGAGAGAAGAATGAGAGAAATAAGCACAGGAGTGGCCAGACAGGTGAGACAAATAGAAACTAGTACAGTAAGGTAGAGAATATTTAAGACTGTTATTTGGTGATTTTAAAGTTTTTGAAGATGTGTTGTTTTGTCATTATCCTAGAATTGGTGTCATTACTAGAAAGGTTTTATAATAGCCATTAGAAAACTGTAAGCTGCATTTTGTGATTTACACATTAAGTTAAAAGAAATAAAATGTCACTTTTAGAAACTAAAATGACGATACACACACATACATACATGTATGTCATGAGAAATTATCATAATATTTGAAAAGGGTAGTTGCGAAAATGTTTTCAAATGTATAATCTAAAACCTTGCCCTAATTATAGTCCTGGGAGAATATGTAGTACTGTGTGATGAGGACAGCACAAAAAAAAGACTGAATAAGGCAGTCTTGGGTTCAAATCCTGTGACCTTAGAAAAGTTATTCGTGGTTGAGGTACCGCCATTTTTTCTTCTCTAATATCCCTAAAATCCCACCACTAAATTAATAGTAGCATTTATTGTGTGATAATTAAGTGAGACAATGTATATGAAGTACATTGAACAGTACTCAAAACATAGTAAATGTTATCACACTATTATTGTTTCTGTGTTAGGTGTTGATGATTATCTTTTGCATTCCTTCTTGTGCTTTAGTTTTAACACTAGGTGGCAGCAATGCTCTCATAACCAACTAAAACGATGCTTGCTAATTTTCTGGCGTAGAAGAGATGGGTGAAGCCTTACCTAATAGGAAGATGTGTGTAGGACACCAGCAAAGCAGGGGGAAAAGATGAATAGAGATAGCAATAGAGATATGTATAGAGACATCAACAGAGACAGAGATAGAAATAGAGGGAAAGAGAGAGAGAGAGAGAGGAAGAAATTGTAGAAAGAATTTGATATTTCAAAAGGATATACTGAAGTAGTCATTATGAGGAAACCAGATCTCTTTTGAATATGCACCTTCTAGAAAATTGTATTATTTTAAAATACATACAGGGAAGTGGCAGATACCATGTATTTTTTTGTGTTGACAATATTAAGGATCTTAAGTGGTCCTGGATGGCAAATGTCTGTAAAGTGTAATGTGTTTTACTGTTCATTTTAATTTTAGCATTAATCTTAATTACAAAACTATGACCATTTTCCTCTATATAAAACATTCCTTCTACAATAAGATATTTAGTGGTATTTATTGCTATCTAATGCTATCTATTGTTGTGTAACCATTATCTCAAAAGTTGGTAGCTTAAAATGAGGAAATAATGATTTCTTTTTTTTTTTTAAATTGTGACAGGGTCTCATTCTGCCACTCAGGCTGGAGTGCGGTGGTGATCATGGCTCACTGCAACCTCGACCTCGTGGGCTCAAGGGATCCTCCTGCCTCAGCCTCTGGAGTAGTTGGGGCTACAGGTGTGTGCCACCACATCCAGCTAAGTTTTTTTCTACTTTTTGTAAAGATGGGGTCTCACTATGGTGCCCAGGCTGGTCTTGAACTCCCAGGCTCAAGTGATCCTGCTGTCTCAGCCTCCCATAGTGTTGAGATTACAGGCATGAGCCACTGTGCCCAACTATGATGAACCTTTATTATCCTATATTTTCTGAAAGCCAGGAATGCTGGGGTGACTTAGCTGGGTGGTTCTGGCTCAGCATTTCTCATGAAGTTTCAGTCAAGACCTCAGTTGGGCTAAAGTTATCTGAAGGCTCGACTGGGCCTTGAAGAATCTGCTTCCAAGATGGTTCAGTCACATGGTTGGTGGCAAAAGCTACAATTCCATATGAATTTCTCCATAAGGCAGCTTGAGTGTCCTTTCAAATGGCAGCCAGTCTCTCCTAGGGTGAGTGACCCAGGAGAGACTGCAAGAAGGAAGCTACAATACCTTTTATGACCTTATCTCAGAATTCATACGCTGTAATGTCCACCATATTTGTTCACAGTGAGTCACACAGGAAATAACTAAACACAATTGTCAGGAATTTTATACATATGCTGGAAACGGAGTTCCTGTATAAATAAATCACAGGCATGACCTCTTCCAGTGTGGCTCTGGACCTATTTCTACATCTATAAAAAGAGATCATGCCATGGAACCATGAGGAACTTCAATTCTAAGGTGGCCTGTTCCCTATCTTGATATAACCTCAAATAACTTCTCTGTCTCTGTTTTTTCATCTCTAAAATAAAATCACCTAAGAAATTGCCTTTCAGATTTTTTAGACCCATTGTAAGGGCTGTACATTGAGCCTGAACACACACACATGTATGCGTGTTTTATATATAACAGAAATGAAAGTACCACAAACCAATACCTTCTTACACTTATTTGTGTGATGTACTCTAATTTTATTCGCCATTCTATGCTAATTCATTTTTAAAAATTCAGGCCAAAGGCCGGGTGCGGTGGCTCACGGCTATAATCCCAACACTTTGGGAGACTGAGGCGGGCGGATCACGAGGTCAGGAGATCGAGACCATCCTGACTAACACGGTGAAACCCCATCTCTACTAAAAATACAAAAATTAGCTGGGCGTGGTGGCGGACGCCTGTAGTCCCAGCTACTCGGGAGGCTGAGGCAGGAGAATGGCATGAACCCAGGAGGAGGAGCTTGCAGTGAGCTGAGATCCCGCCACTGCACTCCAGCCTGGGCGACAGAGCGAGACTCTGTCTCAAAAAAAAAAAAAAAAAAAAAAATTCAGGCCAAAATCTGTAGTACACTGGTCTCACAGTCCATAGAAGGTTTCAACATTCTTTGTGGAAAGAAAACATCTGCCCTTACTCCTCGGTGCTCACTTTTCATTGGTGGTAGAGCAGAAATGCTGAAGAGCGAGTGAGTGAGTCCTCACCTTCCAGTCTCTGGGAGGCACAAAAGCACCTTTGAAAGATGGGTCAGCCCCACGAGCCTACTCTAATTAGAAGGATCAGAAGTTGCTTGTCAGGTGGAAAGGTTACTGTGTTTATTTTTATTTTTATTTATTTATTTTTTGAGACGGAGTCTCACTCTGTTGCCCAGGCTGGAGTGCAGTGGTGCCAATGGTGCGATCACGCTCACTGCAACTTCAACCTCCCAGGTTCAAGCAATTCTCCTGTCTGAGCCTCCTGAATAGCTGGAACTACAGGCGCGTGCCACCACACCTGGCTAATTTTTATATTTTTAGTAGAGATAGGGTTTCACCATGTTGGCCAGGCTGGTCTCGAACTCCTTGACCTCGTGATCCGCCCCTCGCGGCCTCCCAACGTGCTGGGATTACAGGCATGAGCCACGCGCCTGGCCCATCCACCGTGCCCGGCCCATCTGTGTTTATCTTTAAAAGTTGGCTTTGGAACTTGCCATGTGACTCTGGGAAGTCCTTTAACCATCCTGAACTCATTCGTCGGCACCACAATTGGAATAATGAGTAGTATCCTTCTTGCCTATTTCATAAAGTTGTTATTAGGCTCACAGTCAATTAGGCACTTATCACGTGGTGAAGAATCTCAGGACAGGATATTTCATCCTCACAACAACCCTCTAAGATTTAGAGCATTATCTTTGTTTTATAGATGAAGAAATTGATGCTTAGAGCAGTGACATATGTGAAATCTTAAAGTTAAATCTTAAGTGGTAGAGCTAGAATTCCAAACCTATTCTGACATCAAAACCCTCATCCAAAATGGAAATGTAAGCTCGTTTCATTTGACCACAAGGGGTGGCCATCTGATGTATTCAAATGAAGAAATACGCAGTCACCACAGTGTAATAATGACTTTAGAATCTGATGCTGTCTTGCTGTGAACACGAACACCTAAAATATCACACGTGGGCTTTGAGCTCACTGCCTTCGCCCACTGCAGCGTGAGAACGCTGGCAACAGGGCTTCGGTTCCCCAGATGTTAGCAGCCAGGACTGGGTACATTTCTTGAAATGGCGCCCCCAAACAAAGTCCAGATCGCTTGGATGCAGCCCCCTACATTGGAAAGCGTCCTTCCCAGGAAAGGTCTGGCTTACAGCCCTCTCTTTGGCTGGTTGGCTGGGTTCTGAGAGCGCTGCCTGCCTGGGCCCTGTAGCCAGAGAGCTGACCCCGCGGGGGCGCGTCTCCCGGGCCCGGCGTCCCCTCCCTGACGGGTGGCGCGGGCCCCACAAAGCCCTTTATTGAGGCTCCGGCGTGACGCGGGGAGCCCCACACTCCGCGCCCGCCGCGAGCGGGAAGGAGGCGTGTGCCCGCGGCGCGGCCCCGAGGCGTGTGCGCGGCCATGTGCGGTTAGCGCGGCGCGCTCTGTCCTCCTTTTCCCGGCCGCGACCCTCTGAGCCCCTCGAGTCCGGGTAACCAGGCCGCCAGCGCCGGCTCGCTGGGACCCGCCACCCTGGAAGCCCCGCGCCCGCAGCGCGTTCCTGGCGAGTCGGAGGCAGGGTGGGGCTCCGGCGTGGGAAGGAGCCGAGGCTGAGGCCGGTCCCTTAGCCGCGGGCTCTGTAGGCTGCCGAGGCCCCCACCCGTCCCGGGAACCGGTTCCTCCCGGGCTCTGCGCGTCCAGGGAAGGGAAGGAGACTCGCCCCGAATCGGCGTGCAAGGGCGGGGCGCGGGAGTGGTGCTGAGAGTTTTGAATGAGGGAAAACCTGGAAAGAATTGTTCTGCTCAAAGTGCCCGGGCTGGGGCGGGTGGTTCCTGTGCAGGCAGAGCCTTTGGTCGCTCAGCACTGCCACGGTCAGACACTTTTTGGCGCAGCGGTGTTGGAGCTGGTTTGGCAGGCTCAGGCAGGGGCAGAGAGCACGACACCGAAACTTTGTCTCAGGATGATGAAACTTGCCTGGCATTTTCTTCTTATTCGGTGGCAAGAAATGAAAAAATGAGTTCATGGAAAAATGAAAGAGAACACGGTTTTACATTTGGGGTTCAAGTTCAATGAACACTTATTAAGGACTTTCTGACATTCAGAAAATTTTTTTTCTATTGTTTGGCTACAAAATATTCATGTGAGAAGCATTAATTAGGTGCGTTGCAATCATTTCAGGTAAAGTGAACAGAGTTATCTGTGACATTCCGTCAGGCACCTTTATGTAAGGAAGTCGTACTGTAATAACTCGCCATGGCGTATGGATTGCCAAGAAAGAACACAGTGAAAACCATTTTGCGGGGCAGTTGTTATAATGTGTAAGTATATATATATATATTTAAAATCAGGGTAAGCATTGACTGGGCTGGAGAGTGTCTTTGTTAAGTAAAATGACTGGACACTATGCTCCTCATGAGATACTGGGCTATATGAAGTATTTTCGGGTGTCTGGGTTCTGAATTTTTTTTTTTTTTTTTAAGGCAACTGCTTTTATAAGTTAATCCCATACCTGATTATCTTACTTGGTCTTTACAACACAACAACACTTTCAAGTGAGAAAACTGAGGTTCAGAGAAGTTTGATCAAAGTCACAGTCCTGTAGTAAGGAAATGTCAGGGCTAGACTCGGGGTCTTCTTGTTCCAAGACAGCATTTTCTGCTTCCACCCACATGTTTTAAAAAATTTTGTTTAGATCCTCCGCGTCTACCAAAAAAATGCCCCGGTGTCAGATGTATCTTAACAGAGCACCTAAGTAGCTGGTAGAAAGAGTCGGTTTTGTATCCTGTATACTTTGGCAGGCAGTGGATGGTTTCCAATCAAGAAGACCTGGACTCTAAGCCTGGCCCTGCCCCCAGTTCCCTAAGGCCACCTTCTTCCTCCTTGATCTCTGCATTTGCAAGATGCATATAACAATTGGCTATGCGGTGTGGATTATAAATGAAGTCATGTATGTAAAGTACTTGCACATTGCCTGTCATCCAGTGAACGCATCGTGAGCACGTGTTGCAACCACACAATAGTTTCACTCTGTGATATTGTAGTGCAGTCTTTTCCTTTCTTAAACATTTGATTAGGTGTCAACTGAATTTGTCTTTTAAACAATATTCTATGAAGTAAATGAAGATTCCCTATGGGATTATAAAACCAGAGCTATAGGAAATTCAGAGAAGACTCACTCTTGCATTTTGTTTAGTTTTGTCAGTTTAGTATGTGTTTAGACCTTGAACTATGGACAAGTACCATTATACTAAGTATCATTATAAACATAATTTTTATGTGAAGATACTCCTATTTCTGAGAATGACTTAAAGCACTGATTCCATGGTTTTAGTTATGCAGAACTTTATGTCATGAACGATCTCTGTAACACCAGAGATTTCATTCTCTTTCATTCTCTCAAGATAGTATTTGATATCATACTATTTATAAGAATAGCCAAGTCAAGGGGAACAGAATGGTAGTAGCGCTCTTTAGAGTTCATTTGCCAAGGTAACTCCCTACCCGGGGCTTTTTTTTTGATTCAGTGTTTTTAAAGGATTATAAAAACAATACACTAAAAACATCTAGCGTATGAAAGGTAGATAAAAATGATATATCTCCCCATTCCCATTCCTGATTCCCACTCAGAGGTACAATGTCTTACATGTTTTCTAGAATTTCTGTGACTACACAAGACACATACACACATGTATACACACACACATATGTCTTTTTAACACATGGAATCATATTGAACTTTGCTCTGCCCACCGCCTTCCAATATATCTTGTATAGCCTAATAGGCAAGAGCACTGATTCTGGAGTCTGACTTCCTGGGTTCAGATCCCAACTTCACAACCAATGGCTTTGTGACCTTGGGCAAATTGTTCTCTGCACCTCAGTTTCCCTCCCTCCCTCCCTCCCTCCCTCCCTCCCTTCCTTCCTTCCTTTCTTCTTTCCAGACAGGGTCTCACTCTGAAGTGCAGGCTGGAATGTTGTGTACCTCCTGGGCTTGAGTGATCCTCCCACCTCAGCCTCCTGAGTAGCTGGGATGACAGGCACGCACCACAGTGCCCGGTGAATTTGTTTTAGTTTTGGTAGAGATGGGGTCTCACTTTGTTGCCCAGGCTAGTCTCAAACTCCTGTCCTCAAGTGATCCACCTTGGTCTCCTGGAATTATAGGCATGAGCCACCATGCCCAGCTAGAGATCTTTATTTTTTTATCAAGACAGGGTATCACTCTGTCACCTCAGTGCAGTCTCAGCCTTAGCCTCCTGGGCTCAAGTGATCCTCCTGCTGCAGCCTGTTTTGTAGCTGGAACCAGAGGCCTGTGCCACCACATTCGGCTAATTTTTTGATTTTTTGTAGAGATGAGATCTCATTACATTGCCTAGGCTGGTCTTGGCCTTCTGGCCCCCAGCGATCCTCCTGCCTCTGCCTCCCACAGTGCTGGGATTATAGGCATGAGCCAGCATGCCCAGCCTACTCCTCAGTTTTCTAATCTGTAAACTGAGGATAGTAGTAGCACCTGCCTCTTTCATATGGTTGTTGTAGTAATTACATGAGTTCATGTGTGTAAATAGATTAAAACAGTGCCTAATAATAAATGCTATATAAACATTAACTGTTTTATTGCTTATCTTTCCAGGTCAACATAATCCTTATTCATTCATTACATGTTTGTACTGCAGTTTGTTTAATCAGGCTCTTTTTGATAGATATTAAGATGATTTCCATTTTTTTTTTTTTTTTGAGATGGAGTTTAGCTCTTGTCACCCAGGCTGAAGTACAGTGGCGTGATCTCAGCTCACTGCAACCTCTGCCTCCTGGGTTCAAGCGACTCTTTTGCCTCTGCCTCTTGAGTAGCTGGGATTACAAGCACCTGCCACCACGCCCAGCTAAGTTTTGTATTTTTAATAGTGACAGGGTTTCACCATGTTGGCCAGGCTGGTCTTGAACTCGTGACCTCAAATGATCCACCCGCCTCAGCCTCCCAAAGTGCTGGGATTACAGATGTGAGCCACCGTGCCTGGCCTCCATGTTTTTTTTAAACAAATGACACTTCAACACTTCAATGAACATTCTTATACATTTTGTGACTTGTTCAAGTACATCTATAATAACTGTAGACTCTAAGTCACTCCTGAAAGTTAGATGATAAAGGATCGGGAAGGTGGAACAGGCAAACAAAGGGGTGGCTGGTGTAATATGGTCACTTCCCCTGCTTGGACCAAAGCAGGTCTTTTACTTTCTTCATGCATGTGAAGCTGAACTCATATTGACTGCAGATGAGAAACATGTAGCTGATATTTTTAAATTTCAGAATTAGGTGAAAGAGAACAATTTTTAAAGGTTCATAGTGGTTATTTTGACTTTGCAGTTTGGAATTTCATCCCCATTCCCAGATGGCACACTCAAAACCTTAGTCTGTGCCAAGCACCCTGCTCAATGTATGCTTATGCCCTTCTTTCCTTCTTTAATATGACCACATTTTTATGAGCTATAAAAGACTCTGGAGCTTACAGTTCTTATCTACATCCTCTTACATGGAAAGACTGGATTGACTTCATGGAGGCCGAATCAAAGTTCCTGGTGTAATTTCTGGTCATTGTTCAGTATTATCTCTATATTAGTTAATATAAATCTCCCTCTCCTGTCTGGAATTACAACTCTGGAAAATTCTGAACAGCCCCCCACCCCATAAACCAAAATGTCTAGTGGCAGATGGAACCGAGAATTAATGTCTTCTACATCTCACATGGTAGGTGCTTAATCAACATTTATTGAATGCATTAATGAATTTTTGCCCCAGACAGGAACCTTGGGATCTTGCACTGCTTGCAAAGAACTGGTACACAAACCTAGCCAATATCAAGTTGCCTTTCTTGGAAGAAATTTCATTTGGTGGTTCTGTGCAGCTCACAAAATGTAACACCGTTAAAGATGGACTGCTCCCTTCTGCAGAATGTAAGTTCCTTAAGTTCTGCTTTAATAAGTTATAAATTGTGTGTGTCATTTGCTTATCAGAGAAATGTTTAAATCTGTGTATTTACACCCATACCTCCTATCTTTGTAGCTCTGTCATCTTGTTTATTCAAGCATATGGATTTTGCTCTATGATATTCAGTTTTGACTTAGTTATGCCTGATGAAAAATGTATGTCAGATTGTTCTGTGTATTTTCTTTTTCAGCCATCAAACTCGAAAGGGAGTATGAAGTGAAGCGTCTTTGTAAACTGAAATGTCAAGAAAATACATCTGAGGAAATTAAGCTTCTCCTGAGGGAAAGGCCAGCCGGTTTGAGAAGACCTCTTCCATCTAAATGACAGTCAGCTCATGACTGAATCTGTACTCTGTCTCTTGCATCCAAAGGGGATGAAGGTCTCTGGACGTTTCACTGTGTAAAGTTCGGGGCAGATATTTGAATGCCCACTGGTGGATGGGCCACTGCCCACAGCTGTGGGTTAATGGCCAGCTCTGACAGATCTTCTGAGTCCCTGACATACTCTTGTTCCTTGTATCACAAGCTACAGCACTGTAAGTAGATGAAAATGCATTTGGAGTTGAGTCGTTTGTGCTATTCATTTTAATTTTTGTAAAATTGAACTAAAAGAAGAGGAAATTTCTTCAGCTGCATTGTTTTCAAAAGACATCTTGAATATGCATCTTTGAGATCCCAAGGAGGGACCAAAAAGAAGGCAAGAGAGAAATTCTCTTAAAAATGATAAACTGAAACACTTCATTTGGTTAAGAAAAATAATAGACTTCATTTTTAGTACTTCTCTAGTTTCCAATTTCAATGAAACATCATTGAATATTCACATGTGGTACTTTAAAGTAGCAAGTAGGACTTACTTTGTTTTTGTTCTCCTAGAAAAATTGTCAGGCTGGAGGTGATGGCTCATGCTTATAATCTCAGTACTTTGGGAGGCTGAGGTGGGAGACTCGCTTGGGCCCAGGAGTTTGGGACCAGCCTGGTCTCTACAAAAAATTAAAAAATTAGCTGAGCGTGGTGCTGTGCCTATAGTCCCAGCTACTTGGGAGGCTGAGATGGGAGGATCCCTTGAGCCCAGGAGTTTGAGGCTGCATTGAGCTGTGATCATGCCACTGCACTCCAGCTTGGAGGGCAGAGTGAGAACGTGTCTCAAAAAACAAAAACAAAAAAAGTCAATCTTTTTCCTTCTGCCTAATTTCTTATTTTCTATCTGGAATGACCCTGAAGCATATGGAACACACATAGTTATGTGAAAGTGACATGAAAATACACAGAAGGTCTTATGAGAAAAACACAGACTGGGGGATGGGGAATTGATTAACTGGAAAGTATTGGATTTGAATGAACCAATTCTTCTAGCATTTGAACCAATAAAGCATACTTGGATATTAATGTTACTTTTGAGCACAGTGTAGTGTTTTTTAGATGATTTAGTAGGCATTTTAGGATCTTCTGGTATTTTCTTTCTCCCACCCAGGCTGGAGTGGAAGTTTCACTGTAACCTCTGCCTCCCAGATTCAAACAATTCTCGTGCCTCAGTATCCCGAGTGGCTGGGACTACAGGCATGCACCACCACACCTAGCTAATTTTTGTATTTTTTAGTAGAGACGGGATTTCACCATATTGGCCAGGGTGGTCTTGAACTTCTGACCTCAAGTGATCTGTCCACCTTGGCCTCCCAAAGTGCTGGGATTACAGGTGTGAGCCACCGTGCCTGGCTGATCTTCTAGTAACTTAGCTTCATTTCATTATGAAAGGCACTGTGGCATACTGTGCAAGAGTATAGACTTTAGACCTGGGTGCCTTTCTTCAAATCCTAGCTCAGCTGCTTATTGCTATGTGAGCTGGGATAAGTTACCTTGTTTCTGCTTGTTTTCTCATTTGTAAAATCGGGGTAATACAGGTATACCTACTTCACAGGATTAAATGAAAACTGCCAGGCACACAATGAGAATTACTCTGGTGTTAGCCATTACTGTGAGTATCACTATCATTATAATCTAGGTATAATCTCTATTGGGCTGACTCTCTTGACCTTTGTACAGACCAGAAGTCTTGAAATTTACAAAATTTGGTTTTATTCTTACAATATATATGTACTACTTGCCAGACCATCTGACCTGAATTTTGAGTTCAAATTAAGGCCGCTGTACCTATGGCAAATTCTGATCATTTCTCTTTAAAAGTCATCATCCCTGATAATCAACTTGTCATTTATGTCTTTCTCTTAAAAGTAGCATGGAGAATTTGTGTGCAAAAATGTCACATCCTGATGTCCCCACTGTGTAACCCAGGAGCATAGATATCATTTTGTGTTCTGCCCTCTGGAGCCACCAGGGAGCCCTAAGCATGTCATACCTCACTTCACAACCTGGCACTTTCAGTTAGTGGCATTAATTGGGAGTATAAGTAATATGCTTCCATCTGTTGTCCAAAAGACCTTCAGGATGGCTAAATAGTAGAAAGGAGAGTTTTACTGGTGATGTCAGTTAGCGAACTGGGAAGAGAGTCTCTGGAGTGGACTGAAGGTGCTCTTTCTTCGAAGAGGGAAAGCGCAGGCTGGGTTTTAGGCCTCCCAGGGCCTGTATCACGCAATAAAGTAATACATATTTGGCAGGTTTTGGGGGAAAAGCTGTACATATGTATGAAGGTAGTCAAGCACATGTGCAATGGGCAAACATATATGTAACGTACTTCCCATGTTCACGTTGGGATGGGGTTTTAGCATTAAAATAAGGTGGAGTTTGGCTCTACATCAAAAGTGAACTACAGGGCACAAAGACAGTTCATGAGCAGCCTATATAAGCTGGCAGAAACTGGCTTAAGGTCTACAGTTGCTTTTCATAAAAGAAGGTTTGTAAGGCTGGTCCTCTGTTGAATCAGAGTTGCAGTGGTCTGGGATGTAACTCAGGGTCAGGAGGGCTGTGATAGCTCCCGTTGGTATGGAGTTTAGCAAGAATGTAGTTTTTCTTCTAGGGGTAAGAATTTAGGAAGTTGTCATGGCAGCTGAGCCCTGAGCCCCTTGATGCTATAGTAAGTTTTATTTCCTTAACCTTATGGACTATCTTAGTTGATAAAGAGGCATCTGTTTTGATCTCTCAGATCACATATTCTTTTTCATAATGTTGAAAATGAATGAAACATGTATCTGTTTGTAAAAGGTTTGCCAGAACAAAATATTTTAACGTTCCTTGAGAAAAGATGGAATTTGAGAAAGCTTTAGTTCTTCATGATTTTCTTGAGAGAGGAGTCCTGCTTCTAGCTTTAAGATTCTGTTAATCATGATTTTAGGCAGATGTTTCCGAGCCTCTGAAAACTGCACATATTGAAATAAAATTACATTGCAAAATTGAGTAATATGTGTGTATGTCTCTCTCTCTTGAAATGCCCTAACAGCAGGAAAGGAACGCTTTCTTATGTTAGTGTTCCAATGCCTAACTTATATAGTTACTCAATAGACATTCATTGATGGAACATTTTCAGGGCTGGGCATGGTGGTTCACACCTATAATCCCAGTACTTTGGGAGGCTGAGATGGGTGGATCACCTGAGGTCAGGAGTTCAAGACCAACCTGGCCAACGTGGTGAAACCCCATCTCTACTAAAACTACAAAAAATTGGCCAGGCATGGTGGCATGTACCTGTAATCCCAGCTAGTCGGGAGGCTGAGGCAGGAGGAGAATCACTTGAACCCAGGAGGTGGAGGTTGCAGTGAGCTGAGATCACACCATTGTACTCCAACCTGGGAAACAAGAGTGAAACTCCTCAAAAAAAAAAAAAAAAAGATCAGATGGTGAAAGATCCATAATAGAATGCACTTGATAGTTGCTTTCTTATTTTTTATTTTTTTAATTAAAAAAATTTTTTAGAGACAGGGTCTGGCTCTGTTGCCCAGGCTGGGGTGCACTAGTATGATCATTGCTCACTTCAACTTTGAACTCCTAAACTCAAGCAATTCCAGCTACTTGAGACTATAGCTGCTTATGATCCCACCATGCATGGCTAATTTGTTTTGGTATTCTTTGTATGATAGGATACTTTTTTAAAATCAGGAGATAGCCATGATATAACCGAATATGGGACTAAAACAGTTCAAGCCAAAGGTCAGAATGAACAAATATACCATTTTTACATAAAACATTTTAAAGTTATAACAATTTAATTAAAACTGATAGCAATTCAACTTCAGTGGCATACAAAAATTCTAGTTCTTTACCTCTCCACTTTCCCCCACTTTGGCATTGCTGTTAGAAATTATATCTTTCTATATTGTGTATTCATTAACATAATTTATAGTTATTTTTTATGCTTTTGTTTTTTAGATTCTATGCCAAACTTAAAAGTGATCTACACAACAACATTACAGTACTTACAATATTATAGAATTATATATATATATATATACACAATTTTTTTTTATTTTTTTGAGACGGAATCTCACTCTGTTGCCCAGGAGAGTCAAGTGGTGTGATCTCGGCTCACTGCAACCTCCACCTCCTGGGTTCATGCACTTTTCCTGCCTCAGCTTCCTGAGTAGCTGGGATTACAGGCATGCGCCACCATGCCCAGCTAATTTTAGTAGAGACAGGATTTTGCCATGTTGACCAGGCTTGTCTCGAACTCTTGACCTCAGGTGATCTGCCTGCCTTGGCCTCCCAAAGTGCTAGGACTACAGGTGTGAGCCACTGCACCTGGCCTAATTCTATATTTTATCTACATATTTACCTTTACCAGAGAGTTTTATATTTTTCTATGGTTTTGTGTTGCTGTCTAATGTCTTTTTGTTTCAACTTGAAGGAGTCTCTTTAGTATTTCTTGTAGGGGGAAGGCCTAGTGGTAATGAACCTCCTCAGCTTTTGTTTATCTGGGAAAGTTTTAATTTTTTTAAATTTTTGAAGGACAGTTTTGCCAGACATACTGTTGTTGGTTGGCAGCTTTTTCCATTTTAGCACTTTGAATATATTACTTCGCTCCCTTCTGGCCTGGAGGGTTTCTTTTACTTGAGAAAGAGTCTCGCTCCGTCACCCAGGCTGGAGTGCAGTGGCGCAATCTCGGCTTACTGCAACCTCTGCCTCCTGGACTCAAGCAGTTCTCCTGCCTCATGCCCCCGAGTAGCACCACCATGCCTGGCTAATTTTTGTATTTTTAGTAGAGATGGGGTTTTACCATGTTGGCCAGGCTGGTCTCAAACTCCTCACCTCAAGTGATCCGCTCACCTTGGCCTCCCAAGGTGCTAGGAGTATTGGTGTGAGATACCACACCTGGCCCTGGCCTGCAGGGCTTCTGCTCAAAAATCTGCTGGTAGGCTGGGCTCGGTGGTTCATGCCTGTAATCCCAGAACTTTGGGAGGCCAAGGTGGGAGGATTGCTTGAGACCAGGAGTTTAGAACAATTTGAGCAATATAGTGAGACCTCGTCTCTACAAAAAATAAAAAGAAAATTATCCAGGCATGGTTGTGTGTGCCTGTAGTCACAGTTACTCCAGAGGCTGAGGCAGGAGGATTGCTTGAGCCCAGGAGTTCAAGGCTGCAGTGAGCTATGATCATGCCATTGCACTCCAGCTTGGGTGACAGAGCAAGATCCTATCTCAAAATTAAAAAAAAAAAAAGAAACAAAACAAACTGCTTATAGTCTAATAAGATCTCCCTAGTATGAGATGAGTCACTTTTCTCTTGCTGCTTTCAAGATTCTCTCTTTGTCTTTGACATTTGACAGTTTCATAATAATGTGTTTTGGTTTGGGTCACTTTGGTTTATCCTAGTTGGAGTTTGTTGAGCTGCTTGAATTTATATGTTCATTTTCTTCCTCAAATTTGGGAAGATTTTGGCCATTATCTCTTCAAGTAGGCTTGCTATTCCTTTCTCCCTTTTCCTTCTGGGTCTCCTATCATGCATATATTGGTCTGTTTGATGGTGTTCTAGAAGTATTTTTGGCTTTCTTCACTTTTCTTCATTC